GATGGATGGATGGGTAGGTGGATGGACTAGATGGATGGATGGATGGATTGATAGATGGGTAGATGGATAGATGGATGGATGGGTAGATGGATGGATGGATCAATAGATGGATGGATGGATGGGTAGATGTGTGAAATAGATGGAATAGATGGATGGTTAGATAGAGAGATGATACATAGGTAGATAGACGATGCATAGAGTTTCTCATGGTAAGGCAGGGTATCTCCACTTTGGTTCTATGGACATTTGGGGCTGGACTATTCTCTGTGGTGGGGCATGCTGGGCAGTACAGCAATTAATAGCATCCGTGGTCTCCAGCCACCAGACACCAGCAGGACCCACATGTCACCTTCCCCGAGTCGTAACAACCAAGAATGTTTCCAGACATTGCACAGCATCTCATGGAGGAACAGAATCACTCCGGTTGGGAATCACAGCTCTAGCAAAAGTCCAGTACTTCTTGCTCTCTTCTTCGCCCACAGGCATGGAGGCCAGCAACGGCTACCGGGTTCTTCACTGGAATGCGGGCTCGGGTGGGCTCCCTGAGAACGAAACCACATTTGCAAGAGTCCTGAAGCAGCAAGGCTATGCGACGGGCCTCATAGGTGAGGTGACACGCGATACCCATATCTTCCGGCAGGTGGGAAGATCAGTGATCCAAAAGAACTCATTTTCCTTCACAGGAAAAAAAAAGTCTGTGTCCTTCTCTGAATCTGAAGTTGGTGCTTGGCCACCTGATTCCTCTTAAATTGTCCCTAGTTTTGGAGTTTTTCTCATGGATGAGTTTTTTTAAAAAATTGAAAATCCTAGGAGATCGCCCTCTTTCCTTCTCTGGGCATGTCAATCTTCTTGTCCCCTTGTATCAGAACGTTCCTCAGAGATTATCTTTCTCTAAGTGGTCGCCCACCATCTCAAAACCCTCAGGCAGGGTCAGCAGCTCCTTTCTTACAAGAAAGGGCGTGTCGGGGTCCCCAAATCCACCCTCAGGTTTGACAGTTTGCTAGCAGGACTCAGCATATGGTTGTACTCATGGCTGATTTATAAATATTACAGACACAGGACCAAAACCGAAATCAGCTGTGAGCCAAAGTTCATGGGGTGAAATCTCCCCATGCCTCTCCCAGCAAACTCACACGGGATACACCAAATTCCTACAGAAATTAGTTTTGACAGCACGTGAAATGCTGCCGATCAGAGAAGGTTCTTGGAGATTCGGCACCCAACGTTGCGACGGGGGCTGGTCACGTAGGCACCCACTGCATGACACCTACCAAAATTCCAGACCCCAGGAGTAATGCATAAACCACGCTGTTTTTGCATATGGTTAGGCAGTGGGTGTGAATCCCTCTTTGGAGAGCCACTCTCAGACATCAGCCGCAGGATAACCCTGCTAGCCAGTCTTCGCGAGGAGAGCTGTCTCAGGCCCATGGGGTTAGGTCCTTTCTGCACCCTCAAATCCATTGTCCTGTTCCTAGGGGACTACCACACCCTACTTGGCCAAGGCTGTGGTTTGCAATCAGGGAGCTATCATTGTTCTTCCTTTTCAAATTTCCTACTCCTTCAGAAAGTGGGATTATATCCCATCTCCAGGGGCTTTGTCAAGGACATTATACACATCTACACACTTACCTGCATTTCTATTTTTAATCCTGAGACAGAGAGCAGGTCTTCTTAGGCACCTGAATAGACTGGAACGTTCCATGGGCAGCTCAGGACTGTTGGTTGTGCCAGCATGTTTGACACTGTAGACACTTGTAGAATATCAAGTAGCTGCCTATTAGGTAAATACACACACACACACACACACTCACACACACACACACATATTTATAGGTAAGTGACATTCTGTAAGGTATTTAACAGCAGAACCATCTAGGGCGGCAACCTTGTAAGACGGACACCCCCAAAAAGCCTTCAACCTTTAATCACTCAACCACAGCTGTGTCACAGCTGTGTTCATTGCTCTAGTATCAGATACATCCATCAGGCTGGTCACGGTGGCTCACTCCTCTAATCCCAGCACTCTGGGATGCTGAGGCGAGAGGATGGTTTGAGCTCAGGAGTTCGAGACCAGCCTGACCAACACAGTGAGATCCCATCTGTACAAAAAATAGAAAAATCAGCTGGGCGTGGTGGGGCATGCCTGTAGTCCCAGCTACTCGGGAGGCTGAGGCAGTAGGATCGCTTGAGCCCAGGCGTTTGAGGTTGCAGTGAGCTAGGATGACGCCGCAGCACTCTAGCCCAGGAGACAGAGAGAGACCCTGTCTCGAAAAAGAAAAAAAAATACATCCGTCATCTTTTCTATTTCCTATTTTGCCGTTTGTACGTTTTCCTTTTCATTTCAACATCCAAATGATTCCGAGGTTATCCGCCTAACACAGAGTGTCCCCACGTGTGTTTTTGCTTAGCCGTCTTACTTTTATTTCAGGAAAGTGGCACCAGGGCGTGAACTGTGCCTCCCGCGACGATCACTGCCACCATCCGCTGAGCCATGGGTTCGACTATTTCTACGGCATGCCCTTCACACTCATAGACGACTGTGACCCCGGCAGGCCTCCTCGCCTGGACGCCGCCTTCAGGGCCAAGCTGGGGCGTTACACCCAGGTCATGGCCTTGGGGGTGCTGACTGTGGCCGCCGCTAAGATCTGCAGGCTCATCTCGCTCTCCCGCAAAGCGGTCGTGGGCATGGCCGGACTCACGCTCCTGTTCTTCCTGTCTTGGTACGCCAGCTTCGGCTTTGTGCGGCGCTGGAATTGCATCCTGATGAGGAACCACGATGTCACAGCGCAGCCCATGGTTCTAGAGAGGGCGGCGGGTCTCCTGCTGAAGGAAGCTGTTTCCTACATCGAAAGGTAACCTGACAGTCGTGTTCTCAAGAGGAGGTGACTTCTCAGACCATCTGAGTGTCTTGGAATCTGGGATTCCGCACGCCAGCCCTAGGGGGAGATGAGTTTGCAGAAATCCCACCTTTTCAAAGGGGAGGGTTTCCCACACGAGCGTCTCTGTGGTTGATGTCTTGTCTTGGCTCAAATAGCCTCGAAATAGATGCCGGTGTGTCCTGTACAGCAGCCGTCCCCAACCTTTTTGGCACCAGGGACTGTTTTCATAGAAGATAATTTTTCCACCAACCAGAGATGGGTGGATGGTTTGGGGATGATTCAAATGCATTACATTTATTGTGCACTTCATTTCTATTATTATTACGTTGTAGCATATAATGAAATAATTATACCACTCACCATAGGTTGGGAACAATTGATGTACATTATAGTTTCTTTTGGACAGTTTTATTTATTGTTCGTATGAATTTATGGACTGCATGTGAAATTTGGTGACATGTATATCATGCGTGCTAATCTGGCCAGGGTATTTAGGGGTGTCCATCGCCCGAGGACAACCCACTTTGGCTAAGTGTAGCCACTCTGCTACCAAACAGTGAATTTTTTTGAAGGAGTTTATTTTAAATCCAATGTTTCTGGGAGTTTTGCAGCAGGAAGATTTTTAGCTTACGTAGTTCATAATATTTCTAGATAGCCCTCGTTCTTTCTTTCTTCCTTTCTTTCTTCTTTCTTTCTT